TACTGCCACCTTCTTTGTAGAAATCAGAAGATCTAGGCCGGGCACAGCGGCTCACACCTGTAATCCCAGCACCTCGGGAGGTCAAGGCAGGCTAGTCACTTGGGCTCAGGAGTTTCAGATCAGCCTGAGTAAGAAGGTGAGACCCTGTCTCTACAAAAAATACAAAAACTTGCCGGGTAGTGGTATGTCTGCTGTCCCAGCTGCAGTGAGCTATGATTGCAACACTGCACTCTAGCTTAGGTGACAGAGCAAGATTCTGTCTCAAAATAATATTATCAGAAGACCCAGCAAGGTTTGATCTATATTCCCCCATGGCAACAAGAGGCTGGAACTAGTGGCTGCTTCCTATAGACAGGAAAGGTGGCCTGCAGTTCACCACACTCCCCACCATTTCCTAGTCTTCTTACACTCTGCCTTACTTCACTCTGTTATCTGCCTGAGCTCTGCAGGTTTTCAAGTTTGTGACCCCTGCTCCTGCTCCCTCATGTCCCCAAGCTGTGATACTTACCTCTCCTAAAACCAGTATACAGCCCAAAGAGAATATAAAGGACCCCACTCTTATCGGTATCCTGGGTTGCCATTTAATCTGATGTAACCTAGGGCAGTGACATCACCTTGCTGAAGTCTCAATGCCTTAAATGGAGGGCAATTCTGCTTCATAGGATTTCTGTGAGGACTACCCTTTGCCTAATTACCTCCTACTCCTCCTCTGGATCTCAACTCTAGCACTGCTTCTGATAAACCTTTCCAGACCTCCCAACTAGATCAAATCCCTGACAGACATAGGTTCTCAGCACCATGTCTCTCTTCTTGGTGGCACCCATCTCCCTTACAATTGTACATTAGTTTGTGGATTACCTGGTTGATGCCTGCCTCTCCCACCAGTCTGAAAACTCAATAATGGGAAGGATCCTACTTTTGATCCCTACCTACTACCATACCTGGCATAAAATAGGTATTATTTTATTAGGTATTAAGTATTATTTAGAAAGAAAAATGAGTTGTGTAAAGATGCTCATACAACCCCTGGCATATACAAGATACCCCACTGATTCTCTCTGCCCCACCCTCACCTAATGCCTGTTATGTACATGGTACCCTAAGCTTCTGGGGCTGCTAAAATTGACTCAATTTTAACTAACATTTGGGAAAGAAGTGATTAGTGTGTGTTTTCTAATAAGCTATCTACCTCCCAGAATAAGGATTTTTGTTTTGCCCAGTGACATACATGTAGCTGAACTGGAGTCCAGGCCACTCATTACCTGAAAGCCAAAAACTCAAAAGACAAACTTTGGTGAAAGCAAAGTTAGCTTTATTAGAGAAACCAGCACCCTGCAAAAGGCAGTGCACTAGCGTTCAAAGACCACCTTTCTCAGTTGTGCCTCTAGATCCAGGGATCTCAAGGGAAATTAAGGGAAATAATGATCAAAACATTCTTGTGGGCCAGGCATGGTGGCTCACCCATATAATCCAAACAATTTGGGAGGCTGAGGCAGGCAGATCACCTGAGGTCAGGAGTTCAAGACCATCCTGGCCAACATGGTTAAACCCCATCCCTACCAAAAATGAGCCGGGTGTGGTGGCTCACACCTGTAGTCCCAGCTACTTAGGAGGCTGAGGCAGGAGAACTGCTTGAACCCGGGAGGCAGAGGCCACAGTGAACCGAGATCACTGCACTCCAGCATGGGTGACAGAGCGAGACTGTCTCAAAAAACAACAACAAAAAAAAAAATTCTTGTGAATCACACATAGTCTCAGAGGCACAGTTAATCATTACTTTTTTGGTCAAAGCCTTGACTAGATTCTGCAGGGCCCATGGAGCTGCAGGTCTGTTTTATCTGTTGAAGAAGGTCTTGTTTTTCTAAGGCTGTTTCTAGTGAATAATTTACAAACTCAGGCAAAATAATAATTATACTCAAGCAAGCTTTTCTCTAACATAGAGTCAGTACTGCTGTTACCCATTGCAGTGCCTGGGGACTGAGCTGGACACCGACCTGGCTTTTGTAGCCCAATGGAATGCCTCCACGACATAAATTCCTACTCAGCTTTAACTCTGCTTATTTTTAGAAAATAGGATGTCTGTGGTCATAGGTTCCTTCTTACCTTACTCCACCTAGACTCCATGTCTAGCTTCATTATAATCCAACTTCAGTACTAGATGACATTACCACTGGTGCCATGAGTTGACAATCACCTTAATTACCCAAAGAGACCAAAAAAGGACAAAAAAACAGGCAGCTCCTTGATTCCAGGAAATTCTACCTCCCTTCCCAATTAAAAACATGTTCTTGTTCTTATTTTTTTAGAGACAGGGTCTTGCCACGTTGCCCAAGCTGGTCTCCAATTCCTGGGCTTAAAGCATTCCTCTGAATGCCTTGCTCTCAATGCCCTGTCCCTTCATTAAGGACACCTGAGGACTAACATCTGATTTTATTGTACTTTTCTGTTTTGTTTGTTTTTGACACAGTCTCACTTTGTCACCCAAGCTGGAGTGCAGTGGCATAATCTTGGCTGTGACCACTGCCTTCCGGATTCAAGCGATTCTCATACCTCATCCTACCGAGTAGCTGGAATCACAGGCGTACGTCACCATGCCCAGCTAATTTGTTATATCGCACTCAGCACAGGAAGTCAACACCAGAACAAAAGTATGCCAAATTACAGGGTTTATTGCCGGCAACCACGGAGGACTCACGTCTCTCCAACCCGTGGCCCCGAAAGAAGAGACAAGACCTTTTTATACCCGCAGAACCACCTTGGGAGTGGGGGTGGAGATGGGAATGAAAGCTGTCAATCACCTCCCAGGCTAAGACGAGGGTGAGGGGCTTCAGACATTCCGAGGGCCAGTGGATTCAAATCACCTTCTGGGCGGAGAGGAGGGTGAGGGGGTTCCGGACATTTCGAGGGCCAGGGGACTATTTGACATTCTGATTGTTATTTAAGGGTTCACAGATGCTAAGATTAGCATTCATTTACACATCATCTGGGTAGGGGTGGGATCCATAGATTTTCAGTTGCTAGGCGCCAGGATGGAATGATCTGGGGGTGCTTACTCTGGTAAACAAAGGCCAGCCATTCTGGCAGATAAGAGAAGGTATGCAGCTTTACCTCTCTTTGCATCCTGCAAATAAATGATCTAGCAATTTACAGAAACCAAGGTTAGCAGTCCTTGAGGAGAATGGAAACATTTTTGTCTTTTATAAGATGGCAGTATACAGGTTCCAACTTAAGTTAGTTATGTCACAAATTTTTTTCGTTTTTAGTAGAATGGGGTATCACCATGTTGGCCAAGCTGATCTCGAACTTCTGACCTCAAGTGATCCACCTGCCTCGGCCTCCCACAGTGCTGGGATTACAGACACCAACCACCGTGCCCAGCCTAAGCTCTGATTTTTTTTAATCTTGCCCAAATTTCCCAGGGATCTGGGGAATCATGCCCCTACAAACCATAAATTCTCATCAGATGGGTTATATTTACCCCTATATGTGACTTGCTTTCCAATCTGACTCTGGCATAATGATACATGACAAAGAAGGTCAAAATATTTTACCCCAAAACATGTTTCTTTGCCATGTTTTGCAATTTCCCACAAAAAGGAAAGCATTTTACCCCAAAAGCTATCCTTTGTGGGGGAAAATGTGTATCTTTAAAGAACATCTATTAACATAGCTCTAGATCTTTTTTCTCCAGACCCTCCCAATCCTAAAGAGATTAAAAGTCTAACACCTTTTGAAGATCTGAATAGGAAACATTTGTCATCTATTATCTCTAAGGGCAGCCACCATAAGACTTCAAAAGAACCCTGGTCTCCACTGTCTTTTATCTTAACCTGAACATTTCCTTTCTATCAATCCCAGGTCTTCAGACAAACTCAACCAAGTGTCAACTAGAAAATGTATAAATTTACCTGTGTCGGGGAAGCCCCCTCCCCCTTAGGTAGTCCCGCCTTTCTGGACCAAACCAATGTATTGCTTAAATGTATCTGATTTATGTCTCATGTCTCCCTAAAACGTATAAAACCAAGCTGCACCCCAACCACCTTGGGCACATGTTCTCAGGACCCTCCTGAGGGCTGTGTCATGGGCCATGGTCACTCCTATCTGGCTCAGAATAAACCTCTTCAAATATTTTACGGAGTTTTACTTTTCGTCAAAACAGGCTCCTACCTGTAACTTCCCAGTTTTCAAGGGCTGAGATGTTGATTTGCGAGCTACGCTCCCCTTCTCCAGTTTCATGACCAATATATGAAGACTGCACTGCCCTGGCTCTGCAACACTGGACAGACAAGAGCCGCTTTGAGGGTAACAGCATCCCCTGGTGACACTGTTGCCTCTGCCAAGTGTCCAAAACGCAACATGGCACATAGTAGGTGCTCAAGAGAGGGAACGCCGGCTCAATGATTTCGGGACCAAGAGCAGCACCACAAGGGAGCAAGCTGGGAACTGGCTGGCTGAACCCTGAACCCTGAACCCTGACCCCGAGACCCCTCTGACCCCTTCTAATCAGGGTCGGCCACATCGACCTCCCCAACGCCAGATGCAAGAAGAAGCCCCAGAGCTGAGGCCGCGCGAGGCAAGGCTAAACCACGCACAGATCCTTCCGCTAGGCAGTTACGAAGCCGTGCCGTGTGCCTCCGCAAGGGAAAGAACCCGCGCCAGTCTGGAGCACATCCCCGGGCCGCCAATACGACGCAGATCCCTCCGCCCGAACGCAGTGTCCCTCCGCCAGACACACAAGTCCCCGCTCCCGCGCCCTCCTTCCCCTGCAGCCAGGCATCGGTGACCCGGTACTCCTCCACCTCAGGATTCTCCGCCTGCAGCGGGACTCGCCTCCCGCTCCCATGCTGTTCCACCGCCTGCGACAGCCGGTGCCCTCAAGTCCCTCTGTGTCCCTCCGCCTAGGGAGGACCCTTCGCGCCCCTCCACAGTCCTCAAGTCCTTCAGCGCCGAGTTGCCGCGCCGCACGCTCTCGCGAGAGTCCACCGCACCGCGCACCCCCGCCCCCCGCCCCAGCCCCTCGCCCGCGAGGACGCCTCTCGCGGGCCCCGCGGCGCTAGGCGGCGGGCGGCGCATGCGTGGCTGCGGCTCCCAGCGCACCCTGCGCTCTCCGCGGGCCGAGTGGACAAGGCCGAACGCTAGGAGCTGGCCGCCGCCCCTTGCGAGGTCTGGCTTCGGCCCGCGGCTTCTCTCCCCTCCGGCCGGAACGGTTTTTGCAGCCTTTCCTCGGCGGGCACAGGTTTCCTGAGGACTGTCGGGGCCGCCGTGGGCCCGAAGAGCCTGGTGCCGCTTTCGGACTCCGCCGATCCCCAGCGGCACCCGCAGCGGCCTGGGCGTACGGCCGTGACCCGAGCCCGGAACCCGGCACCGGGCGGGGCCTGCACATCCGGCCCCACCCACTCGGGGCCTAGCCTCTCGGAGCCCGACCCCGGGGTAGCGGACACACCCCCCCGGCCGGCTGTCCGCCTCCGCCCATCCTTTCCTCAACCTGCTTCATTTTTCTCCCAGTCTAACAGCCTCCCGGTTTCGACTTTGCACTAAAAGGGATGCACCCCCGAAAACCACATTGCGGGGTCACATCTTGTTTGGAGAAGAGACTGGGCTTTTGCATCTTAGGGTATACATTCACCTTTTCAAGGGCCTGGGATAGATTTGATTAATCAGCCTGAAGTACCCTGTTCCTGCTGACCCGGCCGTTTTTACCTCCCTATCTTACCACACTCCCAGGAACACTAAGTAGAAAGCGCTTGGAGTCTTCTTTGGGCCCCCACCTTGAGCTAGACGTGAAGTTGACCCCTGGGCTGCAGCATGGCTGTAGCCCTCGACTCTCAGATCGACGCACCCCTGGAGGTTGAGGGATGCCTAATAATGAAGATGGAAAAGGACCCCGAGTGGGCATCAGAGCCCATTGTGGGAGGGTCGGATAGCTCCGAGACCTTCCGCAAATGCTTCAGGCAATTCTGTTATGAGGATGTGACTGGACCCCATGAAGCTTTCAGTAAACTCTGGGAACTTTGCTGCCGGTGGCTGAAGCCAGAAATGCGTTCCAAGGAGCAGATACTTGAGCTGCTGGTCATTGAACAGTTTCTCACCATTTTACCCGAGAAGATTCAGGCTTGGGCACAGAAGCAGTGTCCGCAGAGTGGCGAGGAAGCTGTGGCCCTGGTAGTGCATTTGGAGAAAGAGACTGGAAGACTAAGGCAGCAGGTGAGAGAGGATTTTCCACATTTTTGTACTTAGAAAAAAGGGAATGGGAAAGACGTGGGTAGGGATGTATTGCAGAAAGAAGTGCTCTTCAGAGAAAGATAAATCGTACTAATAAAAGACCCTTTAAGGGAGGTCTTTTCACTTTTAAGTGAATCTACTTAAAAGGGGATCAAAATTTCAAAGGCAAAAGAAATGCAAAAACATAAGCTTTGGTTGAAATATTATCTTGCAATTGGAACCCAACATTTTTCACCTAAGCATTTGATTTCATCTTTGGCATGTTTGCAACAAAACAATATGAGAGAACAATATCGTTTTGCTTCACAGAGGTTCACTTAGACATTTTGATCAAAAAAGGTTATTCTGCTCCCCCTTCAAAAAAAAAAAGACATCATCTGTAATCCCAGAGCCCTCTCCAAGCATTTACTATTCCACTCAGTGTCTTCTGAAGTGCTCCCATGCCATCATTTCTGTCACTGTCCTCCAGTCTAACTGCCACATCTTCATTTCTCAGTGGCTTGCATGCCCTTCTAGTTGTTCTTCAGCCTCCCTTTCATGAATCTCGTGGAATCCTGCAGCATTTGCAAGATTTGCAGTTTCACCTTACACTGGACTTGCATTGTGTATAGATCTATATCAGCAGGTTGCTGTGCTGGTCAGGGATAGACAGATGTAGGGATTAATTTTTGTAAGTTTTCAGTTCACCAGTGAACATATTCATGTCCTGGTAACTTTTACTTCTCTGCGAACTTAACAGACATAAGGAGTCAAATATCTATTCTAGCAACAAGGAGGCTCTGTCTTTCACTCCTGACAGATTTCCCCCTCTGTTTAGTAATAAAGACTATTTTGGCCAGGTGTTGTGGCTCATGCCTGTAATCCCAGCACTTTGGGAGGCAGAGGAGGGTTGCTCACCTGAGATCAGGAGTTCAAGACCAGTCTGACAAACATAGTGAAACCCCATCTCTATTTAAAAAAATATGAAATTAGCCGGGCATGTTGGTGGATGCCTATAATCCCAGCTACTTGGGAGGTTGAGCCAGGAGAATCGCTTGAACCTGGGAGACAGAGGTTGCGGTGAGCCGAGATTGTGCCATTGCACTCCATCCTGGGCAACAAGAGTGAAACTGTCCAAAAAGAAAAAAGAATACTCTTCTGTTCCCTTTTACCCAGACTGCTGGACAGTACTCTCAGCCCAGCGCTCTCAGCAACTCCATTGGGAATAGAATAGAATTTTCATTTCTTCTCATGTCTCTGTCCTTCTTTGATATCTTTCCTGGGAGAATTTTGCCCTGACGTGGGCCTAAATTCTCCCCCTCTTATGGTATTGACTTCATTTCCCAGGTCAGCAGCCCTGTGCACCCAGAGAAGCACGCCCCACTTGGAGCAGTGTGGGAGATGGCAGACTTCCAGCCAGAACAGATAGAGACCCAATCCAGGGTGGTGTCTCTGGAGGAAGCTGGAAGCCTCCACTCAGGACACCAGGAACAGCTGAACCGAAAGCGAGAACATCGGCCCTTACCCAAGAATGGTAAGAGGGAAGACTCGGAGCATACCTAGTGCAGAAGCTGGGGCAGATTTCTATGATACCCCCAGCGCTGTGAATGCTCAGTGGAGGGCCCCCTAGATACATATTCGAAATAAGAGTATTGAAGAAGAAAGGCTTCATTCACTTCAAGAATTAGGAACATGTGCAATATAAGTAAAAACGGATCTTAAAGATGGAAAGTGAGCCTGGGCAACATGGGAAAACCCAGTCTCTACAAAATTGCAAAAAAAAAAAAAATTAGCAGGGTGTGAGGGCATACACCTGTGGTCCAAGCTACTCAGGAGGCTGAGGCAAGGGGATTGCTTGAGCACAGGAGGTTGAGGCTTCATTATGCCATGATCATACCACTGTATTTTCAGCCTGGGTAACAGAGTAAGACCCTGTCTCAAATAAATAAATAAATAAATAAATCCAAACTGGGGAAACTTAGATTGCCTGGGCCAGCTTTGAGATCTTCTGGTGTTATTTAAACTCTCCATGGCTGGGCACAGTGGCCCACTCCGTAATCGCAAGAGGAGCTCTTGAAGCCCAGAGTTCAAGATCAGCCTGGGCAACATAACGAGACAAACCCATTTCTCTAAAAAATATAATTTAAATTAAATTAAATAAGGTCTGCATTCTACAATCATCTTGTGTTTTTTAGTCCTGCCATGTGTATGTGCTCTTGGCTGACTATATATAAAGTCAAAAAGCTTTTTGGAAGGGAATAAGACATTTGTGTTCAAAATTTGACTCAAGGCATCACCGATGTGGCATATGAGAGAGAGAAACATTAAGATTCACAGAGAAGGGACCACTGACATTCATAGCTGCCCTGCACATTAATGAATCAGGTCCAATACTAGGAAATGAATATGCTGTCATTCCCAGTCCACAGTGATCTCTCCATCTCTTGAAGTGTGGCTTCATCTCAGACTTAAAGAGAATGGAAAGATCACTGGACCTTCTGTCAAAAGTCTTATACCTTTTCTCTGCCACCCTTTCTCTGTGATCTTAGCCAAATTATATGAAAAGGAGCATTAATGCACAGAGGCTAAGAGCTTAGGCTTTAGACCCACACAGACCTAGATTCAGAACCTAGCTCTGCCGTTTTTTATCTTTGTGGCCTTGGTCAGGATACTTCTCAAACTTTCCATTCTCTCATCTTTATTTTATTTTATTTTTTCTTCGAGGTGGAGTCTTGCTCTGTCACCAGGCTGGAGTGCAGTAGCGTGATCTTGGCTCACCACAACCTCCACCTCCCGGGTTCAAGCGATTCTTGTTCCTCAGTCTCCTAAGTAGCTGGGATTGCAGGCATGTGCCATCACGCCTGGCTAATTTTTGTATTTTTAGTAGAGATGGGGTTTCACCATGTTGGCCAGGCTGGTCTTGAACTCCTGACCGCAAGTGATCTGCCTGCCTTGGCCTCCCAAGCTGGGATTATGGGTGTGAGCCTCTCCACGCCCGGTCCTCTCATCTCTAAAAGGAAAATAGCAAGGCCATTAGTGGAGATTAAATGAGGCAACGTAAAGGAGCCAGTGCATAATAGTGCTCAATAAATATTAGTTTCCTTTTTCCCAGAATGGCACAATTATTTTTAAACCTCAAGTTTGTCTGACTTAAACAGCCCTTTACTGAGAGGCAAGATTTGGAACTACTTACTGTACTGTACTTTTTTATGCCTCCCCAAATTCATATTAGGATGGAATGCATTGCGAATGTTTGTGTGTTCATTAACATCAAAGCTCCCTTGTTCACATGGATTAGATGGCCCCAGCAACTTTACCTGATAAGCTTAAGTCTGCTAAATACCTATTCACGCTGTTTCTGGGTTTTGCCATCCCAGAGTGATAAGGAATTCCAAAAGTGGAAAAGGCGAATACTAATTGGGGGAATGAAGGACAAAATTTGAGGCCTAGATATCTCAGAAAGGTGAATTTAAGGAATCCATAATTTCAGCCATGTGTGCCTCAGGGAATATAATGCTTCCAAGGAAATGACTTGATTTCCTTCTATAGAAAGTAGTGGAGCAAGCTTTTGAGTTATTGGTCACAAGTGATAGTTATTGATGTTTTCCTAAGATGTTCCAGGGAAGAAGTAAGACCACAGATTGTGCTATATATAAATTTATATATATTTCTTCCACCCTTGGAGGAGCGTGTTTGCCTATAGTGTCCATTACCATGTATTTATCTATATACTCATTTCTTAGGACAATATTCACTCTTAGGGGATTCATTTATACTAACGATTGCAAACTGGTAACTTGCATGCCAAGTCAGACTGTGACCCCTACAAAGAGTTTCTGTTTGAGGGTTTTGTGTTTGTTTTTAATTATCAAAATTTAAGACTTCTCAGATTTCACATAAAATTTAGATTTTTGGCTTCTCTGGAAAAAAAGTAGGGTTGAGTGCCGTGGCTTACACCTGTAATCCCAGGTTTACACCTGTAATCCCAGCACTTTGGGAGGATCACCTGAACCTCGGAGTTGGAGGCTGCAGTGAACTACGGTCATACCGCGGCACCCCAGCCTGCACAGCAGAGCCAGACCCTGCCTCAAGAAAGAAAGAAAAAGGGAGAAGCTCTGGCTGTACCAGAGCCATAGTCTAACACTGAGACATGAGCAGGACCTAAGGACTGGCTGTGCCCTTTCAATCAGATATGTGCTCTCCAGTTCCTACAGTCCTTTACTGGCCCCCTTCAATCTTGTACTTTACCTGCTTACCCCCCAGAAAGCAGTCAAGGTTGTGATCACCAGCTTTAGGGTACTGTGGTTTGAGGCATTGTTCTGAACTCATAGAGAAAATGGTCAATTTATATTTGCTGGTGTTTCAATACATACCCATCTCTTAAAAAGAGACCACATGAATTAAAGGGTCAAAGAATGCTAATCATTTCTTTCTATTCTTACAGCTCGACCTTCTCCTTGGGTTCCTGACCTTGCTGATGAATGGAACATCCTAGATCAGGAAGTGACAACCACACGGCTTCCTACTGGGTCCCAGGTACATTGTAATTGTCTTTTCTTTTTTTGAGATGGAGTCTCACTCTGTCACCCACGCTGGAATGCAGTGGTGCTATCTCAGCTCACTGCAACCACCTTCACCTCACAAGTTCAAGTGATTCTCCTGTCTCAGACTCCTGAGTAGCTGGGACCACAAGTGCACACCACCACACCCAGCTAAGTTTTAGTATTTTTAGTAAAGATGGTGTTTCACCATGCTGGCCAAGCTGGTCTCAAACTCCTGACCTCAAGTGACCTGCTCGCCTTGGCTTCCAAAAGTGCTGGGATTACAGATGTAAGCCACCATGCCCGGCCGTAATTATCTTCTCTGGCCTTCCTTACTAGGGTGTTTAGCACAGTGCCTTTCTGTGCCTTCGCTGTCCTCAGATTTTTATACACTCCACAAGAGACTTTTTCCCCTCTATTCGTTTTCCTGAAAAGATGAGACTCAGTCTTCTGAGTAATGAGACTTGCTGGATCATCTTGCTTCTCTTGTCATTTTATGATTCTTTATCTTCTGCTTCATTTGGCACATACTATCTACTTGTTCCTTGATTTCAGTTCTTCTTTAGGGTCCCTCTCTGCCTCATCCATGATTGTTCATCCTTTGAAGACCTGTGCAGTTATCTTGGTAGTTATTGGTGTTAGTGTCGTTACAGGAACCTGTGAAAGATGTCCACGTGACGAGAGGCTTTTCCTACAAAAAGAGTGTGCATCAGATTCCTGCCCACAGGGGCCTCTACCGAGATTTCAGGAAGGAGAACGTTGGGAATGTGGTCTCCCTGGGTAAGGACTCCTTCCCTTTCCAAATAAAAGACTTGGGGCTTTCTAATGTATTCATTTCTACTGATGAGAAGATAGGTAAAAATGTTAACACTTAAAGGATCTCTAAGGATTGTCTAGTGTAATCACTTAGCCAGGTTCTCTTCCCGCACCCATTCCTTCTTCCAGTAAAAAAATCATAATTTAGTGATTAAGACATTAGAGTGGAGTTACATATGACTATCATATTTGTATTCTATAAAATGGGATAGTACAGTAAATGGTATTATTCCCTAGGAAACTGAGGCTTAGAAAGCTTAAACTTTCCCTGGTCAAAAAGGAAAGTGAGCAATGTAGCTAGGATTCAAATTTACAACATGTTCATCATTTTGTATTGTAAGCTAGCAAAGTCTCAATTTGCTTTCTATTCTTAACAACTCTTCCCTATTAACCTTATCAAAATGTCCCCAGAAGTTCTTTTTTTAAAATTAATGAACTATCTTATTAATGAAATATTTTGTTTTCAATAAATAATTATGAAAATATATCTGTACCAATAATTTTCAAATGTGAAGTCACAGATTGTTTTTCCCCTTCATGTAATGGAAGAGTGGCTTTCAGTCTCTTTTGAGGAGAAAGGCATCTTTGATGTGTCTCAGGACCACAAAACTATAATAAGTTATAAGGCTTTTTTCCCCCCACCCACAACCTCCTTAAGCAAAACAACTGGATTTTATTTATTTGATATATGTATTTGTGGGTTCCTGTGAGTTTTTGTTTGAAAATTAGGTTCTTCTGCCAAATTTTTTTTCAGCTTTTTTGGGGGTATTAATAAGTTTAATATTTATTAAATATATGCAAATAAGGCCAGGTGCAGTGGCTCACACCTATAATCCTAGCACTTTATGGGGCCAAAGCAGGCAGATCGCCCAAGGTCAGGAGTTCAACACAAACCTGACTAACATGGTGAAACCCCATCTCTACTAAAAATACAAAATTAGCTGGGCATGGTGGCACGTGCCTGTAATCTCAGCTACTTGGTTCTTGGAAGGCTGAGGCAGGAGAATAGCTTGAACCCAGGAGGCGGAGGTTGCGATGAGCCAAGATCACACCATTGCACTAAAGCCTGGGCAACAAGAGTGAAACTCTGTCTCAAAAAAAACAAAAACAAAAAATAATCTACATATATATGTGCAAATAAAATTGTGTATATTTAAGAATGTCATATTACAACTTGATTTTATGTACATATATGTTATAAAATAATTACCATATTTGAGTTAACACATCCATCACCTTACATAGTTGTGTACGTGTGTGTTGAGAACATTTAAGATCTACTCTCTTAGTAAACTTCAGTTATACACTATAGCATTATTAACTGTAACCATCATGGTGTATAATTAGAATTTATTAATCTCATAACCAAAGGCTTATACCCTTTGACCAATATCTCCCCTTACTCAAGCCCCTGACAACTACTATTCTCTTCTTGCTTTCTGCAAGCTCAGCATTTTAGATTCCACATGTGAGATCATATTAGTCTTCCTCTGACTGGTTTACTTCACTTAGCACAGTGCCCTCCAAGTTCATCTATGTTGTCACAAATGGCATAATTTCCTTCTTATTTTTGTTTTGAGATGGAGTCTTGCTCTGTCACCCAGGCTGGAGTGCAGTGGCACAATCTCAGCTCACTGCAACCTCCACCTCCCAGATTCAAGTAATTCTCCTGCCTCAGCCTCCTGAGTAGTTGGGACTACAGGCGCCTGCCACCAGACCTGGCTAATTGTTGTATTTTTAGCAGAAACAAGGTTTCACCATGTTGGTCCTGACGTTGTGATCCACCCACCTCAGCCTCCCAAAGTACTGGGATTACAGGCGTGAGTCACTGTGCCCCTCTCCTCCTTTTTAATGACTGACTAGTACTCCACTATATTTTTTTTTTCCTGTATTTTCACACTTTCAGTATTCATTCATTCATCAGCAGATACTTGGGTTGTTTCCATGTCTGGACTCTTGTGAATAATGCTGCAGTGAACACAGGAGTTCAGCTGTCTCTTTGAGATGCTGATTTTGTCTCCTTGGAATATATAATATAAATGGGATTATTGGATCATATTGTAGTTCTAATTTTTTGAGGAGCCTTCCTAATGTTTTGCATAATGGCTGTACCAGCTTACATTCCCACCAGCAGTGCACAAGGATTCCCTTTTCTCCACAATCTTGTTATCATTTGTCTTTTTTTAATTGACAAATAATAATTATATATGATTATGGGGTACAGTGTGATGTTTTGATACCTGATTACATTGAGGAGTTACTAAATCAAGCTAATTAACAAATCCATCACCTCAGCCAGGTGCAGTGTCTCACACCTGTAATCCCAGCGCTTTGGGAGGCCGAGGCAGGTGGATCGCCTGAGGTTAGGAGTTCAAGAGCAATCTGGCCAACATAGTGAAACCATGTCCCAGGTACTCAGGAGGCTGAGACAGGAGAAGCACTTGAACCCAAGATGCAGAGGTTACAGTGAGCTGAGATCGAGCCACTGCACTCCAGCCTGGATGACAGAGCAAGACTTTGTCTCAAAAAAAAAAAAAAAAAAATTACCTCACATACTTATTTTCCCATAGTGAAAATATTTAAAATCTACTCTTTTAGGCCAGTCACAGTGGCTCACATCTGTCATCCCAGCACTTTGGAAGGCAGATCACCTGAGGTCAGGAGTTCGAGACCAGCGTAGCCAATGTGGCAAAATGCCCTCTCTACTAAAAATTCAAAAATTAGCCAGGTGTGGTGGCAGGCACCTGTAATCCCAGCTACTTGGAGGCTGAGGCAGGAGAATCATTTGAACCCAGAAGGCAGAGGTTACAGCGAGTCCAGATTGTGCCACTGCACTCCAGCCTGAGCAACACAGTAAGACTCTCTCAAAAAGTAAATCTACTCTTTTAGCAATTTTGAAATAGACAAAGCATTACTACATGTTATAGTCACTATATATAATAGATTACTAAAGTTTATTCCTTCCATCTAACTGAAATTTTGCACCCTTTGATCAAATCTCTACTTTCCCCATCCTCCCTTCTCCTCCCCCAGCTTCTGGTAACTACCTTCTACTCTCTACTTCTATTGGTTGGACTTTTGAAGTGAGATCATGTGATATATGTCTTTTTTGTGCCTTGCTTACCTTAGTTAACATAATGTCCTCCATCCACATTGTTGCAAAAGGCAGAATTTTCTTCGTTTTTAAGGTGGAATAGCATTCCATTGTGTATATAGACCACATTTTTTTTTTTTTGAGATGGAGTCTCGCACTGTCGCCCAGGCTACAGTGCAGTGGCGCGATCTCAGGTCACTGCAACCTCTGCCTCCAAGGTTCAAGTGATTCTCCTGCCTCAGCCTCCCAAATAGTTGGATTACAGGTGCCCGCCACTACACCCAGCTAATTTTTTGTATCGTAGTAGAGACAGGGTTTCACTTTGTTGGCCAGGCTGGTCTCAAACTCCTGACCTCATAATCTGCCCTCCTTGGCCTCCCAGAGTGCTGGGATTACAGGTGTGAGCCACTGCACCCCGCCTAGACCACATTTTCTTTATCCATTCAGCCTCCTGGTTGTTTCCATATCTTAGCTATATATGAATAATGCTGCAGTGAACATGGTAGTGCCTCTTTGGCATACTGATTATAATTCCTTTGCATATATACTCAGTAGCAGGATTACTGGATCATATGGTAATTCTATTTTTAGTTTTCTGTGGAACCTTTGCACTGTTTTCCATGATGACTTCCCAATTCACAGCCCTGCCAACAGTATTCAGAGGTTTCATTTTCTTCTCACCAACACTGCTTATTTTTGTCTGCTTGATGATAGCCATTCTGAAAGGTGGTATCTTGTGGCTTTGGTTTGCATTTCCCTGATGATTAGCAATGTTGAGTACCTTTTCATGTACCTATTTGCCATTCGTATGTCTTCTTTGGGAAAATGTCTATTCATGGTCCTTTGCTTATTTTTTAATGAGATTATTTGTTTAGTTTGTTGTTGTTGTTTTGCTACTGAATTGTAGGAGTTCCTTGTGTATTTTAGATAAGACCCCGTAGCAGATAAATGGTTTGCAAATCTTCTATTCCATAGAGTGTTTCATCACTTTGTTGACTGTTTTGTTGTTGTTGTTGTTGTTGTTGTTTTGGATTAGGTTTTTTTGCTGTACAGAAGCTTTGTAGTTTGCTGTAGTCCCACTCATTTATTTTTGCTTTCATTGCCTGTGCTTTGATGTCATATCCAAAAAAATTATTGCCAAAACCCCTGTCAAGCAGCTTTATCCCCGGTATTTTCTTCTAGGAGATTTATGGTTTCAGGTCTTACATTTAAGGCTTAATCCATTTTGAGTTCATTTTTGTGACTCATGTAAGACAGGGGCCCAGTTTCTTTTGCATCTGAATATTCAGTTTTCCCAGCACCAATTACTGAAAAGATGACCTTTTCCCAGTGATGTGTTCTTGGCACTCTGTTAAAGTTTATTTAGCCATATATGCATGGATTTCTATTCTGTTCCACTGGTCTTTGTGTCTGTTTTCATGCCAGTGCCATACTGTCTTGATTACTATAGCTTTGTAACATAGTATAACAAAAAATTCTTGACTTCTTTTCTCTTATAGTTCCAGTGTGTATATGTATATGGATGTTGACATGGGCATGGAGGGATTGTGGGGAAGAGATATGCTTTATTTTATAACTAACAAGTACCGAGTAGGAGCATACCCTAAACCTAACACAGTGTTACCCACTGAGAGAGAATCAAAGGTTAAAATATATATATTCTTACCCTTAAAATCTTTCCTGTAAGAACCAGGTAAGAAAAGAAATGGTACATACATGAGAAGTAAAATAATCGTGTAAGTTAGTAGACATTTGTACCAAGGAAGTAATGTAAAAGTAAAGCGGTGTCACAGTCGAGGAAGGTTTGGGTGTGAACAAGCAGCCCAGGAGAGCATGCGACAGCAGAAGATTGAGGCATGCAGTAATGACTTCTCTATCTACCATGAAATATATTTGTTTTACTACAGGAAGTACAGTGTCTGCATCTAACAGGATAACCCGGTTGGAACAGAGAAAGGAGCCATGGACTCTAGGTCTGCATTCCTCTAATAAGAGAAGTACCCTACGAAGCAACTACATCAAGGAAAAGTCAGTTCATACTATTCAGGTCCCTACAAGGAGTGCAGGAAAAACATGGAGAGAGCAGCAGCAGTGGGGTTTAGAAGATGAGAAGATAGCAGGTGTGCATTGGAGCTATGAGGAAACTAAGACTTTCCTGGCAATTCTCAAAGAGTCTCGCTTTTATGAAACACTTCAAGCCTGTCCCCGAAATAGCCAGGTATATGGTGCTGTGGCTGAGTGGTTGCGCGAATGTGGCTTCCTTCGAACCCCAGAACAATGTCGAACCAAGTTCAAAAGTCTCCAGAAAAGCTATCGAAAGGTGAGAAATGGCCACATGCTAGAACCCTGCGCCTTCTTTGAGGACATGGATGCTCTGTTGAACCCTGCAGCCCATGCTTCATCCACTGATAAGCCAAAGGAGATGATACCACTCCCCAGACTTAAGAGAATTGCCATCAGTGCTAAGGAACACATCAGCTTGGTGGAGGAAGAGGAAGCCGCAGAAGATTCCGATGGTGATGAAATAGGCGTCGAATTTATCCGCAAGTCTGAAATCCGTGGTGCCCCTGTCTTGTTTCAGAACCTAAGTGGTAAGAATTGTGCTTTTTTATCTGGTAAGAAAACAGATGTGTGGTCTTGTGGAAAAAGGAGTAGACCAGAAGTGAATAAATCCAGGGGGTGCTATCACACACACCTCGCCACTTTCACTGTCCAGTAGTCACGTAACTCAAATGCTCTCAGGTGCTGTCCCCAGTGCGTCAGAGTAAAAGCTCCAAGCAGCCATGGAGGAGTCATTTTCACTTTAGAGCACAGCATGGATTTTGAGTATTTGGGTCTTTGTGGAAGGAAGATAATTGGAGTTAAATGGTTCTCAGGATCTATTATTATCTGATAATTGGCATAAAGCAATCAACTGTATTGAATTGTAATAAGTCAAATGGGCATTATTACATTATCTAAAATAACCAGTAAAAAATTATGTAACAGGTTCAAAGAGAGTTAAAAATAAAATAAACTTTTTTTCCTTAATCTAAAAGAAGACAAGAAAGGAGAGAAAAAAGAATACAAAATAGATTAGTCAGATGGAAAAAAAATAAGATATAAATCCAAATATATCATTAATTGCAAAGTTAAAAGGCTAAGATTATCAGACATTATTTGCTTATAAGAGATCCATCTTAGATATAATACAGAGACGTTAAAAAGGCAGACAGAGAATATGCAAAAGAAAACTGGTATTAAATATTTCATGACTCAGACATGCAGAATTAAATCACCAGTTAATAACTGTGTGACAGTAGACACATCACTTAACTACTTTGAGCTTCTATTTTCCCGTCTGTAAAATATGACTAAGAATACCTCATAGGGTTGTTACTAGTGTTAAATAGGATCATATAAATGAAGGCACGGTGAAAATGCTAAAATATAATACGGCATTGCCTGGTATCACTGTTATTAGTAATGTTTCTTTACTCCAGCTAGAGATAAATTCTTTTTTTTTTTTTTGAGACAGTGTCTCATTCTGTCGCCCAGGCAGTGGTGCAGTGGCACAATCTCAGCTCACTGTAGCCTCTGCCTCCTGCATGGGTTCAAGCAATTCTCCTGCCTCAGCCTCCTGAGTAGCTATGCTTACAGGCGCCCATCACCACCAAAACTTAGCCACACCTGGCTGGTCTCAAACTCCCAACTTCAAATGATCTGCCCACCTTGGCCACCCAAAATGCTGGGATTGAGGTGTGAGCCACCACACTCAGCCTATAAATTCTTACATAGAATGGAAAACTAAATCAGGCTAAGGAACATATTCATGACCACCCCTGTTCAAAAGAAACTGTTTGGATGCAGTGGTTTATACCTGTAATTCTAGCACTTCAGGAGACTGAGCTGGTAGGCTACCTTGAGGCCAGGAGTTCGAGAGCAGCCTGGGCAACACAGCGAGACTCAGATTCTACAAAAAATAAAACAGCCAGGTGCGGTGGCACACTCCTGTAGTCCCAGCTACTCAGGAGGCTGAAGCGAGAGGATCACTTGAGCCCAGGAATTAAGGCTTCAGTGAACCATGATCATGCCACTGCAGTCCAGCCTTGGCAAGAGAGTGAGATTCTGTCTAAAAAAATAAAAAATAAACATCTGGTAAGATGGTAAGAAGCATTATGCCTAGACAGGTCTCACCAATCAGAAAATCCATAAACATGAGGCTGAGACTCTTGGGGAGGTCTCAAATATGGGAATCCAGTCATCGGCCTGAAAGAGACCACCTAGTAAGATAGAGGACAGAGATTTTTCCCACTATAGATTACAAAACATACAAAAAACATGTCTTACAAATTATATTTAAACATGCCCTGAAAAGTTTTATTCTGCTGTAAATGCAGAACATAATCTTGTCTTGCAGATCATTTGATCTCAAAGTAGAACACTCAGTGACATCGAAAAACTACTCTGAACATAGTTCTGCTCTTCAAGGAAGACTGGTTACAGGAGTGCTAGGAAATTTGAGGGGAAGTTCCCAGTGGAAGTTCTAGTCATTATTCTTAACCACTTTGGAAAGACACTTTTAGAGAGGCATTGCTAAATTATTTAGTTAATCACCATAGCAGTGGCAGATTTGGGGGACTGCATTTTTATTCTTCCAAATAAGCTTTGAGATTAGTTTACCAATTTCGATTTTAAAAATCCGATTGGGATTTTGACTATAGAGTCATATGAGAAATGGTATATGTACAATTTGAGTCTTCCTGTTCATAAACAGTGTCTCATTTTTTTCTAGTTTTATGATACTGCACATTTTTATACAGACTTTCTCATTTCTTGCAAAGCTTATTCCTGGGAATATGGTAGTTCCTATTGCCACTGTGAATGGGATTTTTTTTACCTCTACATTTTTGTAATGCATATAGTGTAGAGGCTACAGACTTTTTTTCTTTCTTATATTGTGAACCTTATTTCCGAATGGCAGGTGTGCACTGGGGCTATGAAGAAACCAAGACTTTTCTTGATATCCTCCGTGAGACTCGGTTTTACGAAGCACTTCAAGCCTGTCATCGGAAGAGCAAATTGTATGGGGCTGTAGCTGAACAACTTCGAGAGTGCGGCTTCCTTCGGACACCAGAACAGTGCCGAACCAAGTTCAAAAGCCTTCAGAAGAGTTACCGCAAGGTGAAAAATGGCCACATGCTAGAGTCCTGTGCATTCTACAAGGAGATGGATGCCCTGATTAACTCTCGGGCACCTGCTTCTTCCCCCAGCACCCCAGAAGAAGTCCCATCACCTTCAAGGCAAGAAAGAGAGGGTATTGAGGTTGAACCCCAGGAACCTACAGGCTGGGAACCTGAAGAGACCTTACAGGAGGCAGTAATAGAAGACTCTTGCAGTGAGCGAATGAGCGAGGAGGAAATTGTACAAGAGCCAGAATTCCAGGGACATCCAGGTGGGTCTGCTGCAGAGCCCAAATGGTACGGTGCAAAACCAAGGAGTTTTAGTCTAAAAGAGGAGTGTTATTTACTGAAAAATCAGTGTATCTTGGCCATAGCTCATGAATATTCTTTTATTCAACAAATATTTGAGTGTCTGTGCTACTTGAAGAACAGGGGATATAGCAATGAATAAAACAGTTCCTGGCCAGTCGTGATGGCTCACACCTGTAACCCCAGAACTTTGGGAGGCTGAGGCAGGTAGGTCACCTGGGGTCAGGAATTCAAGACCAGCCTGGCCAACATGGTGAAACCCTGTGTCTACTAAAAATACAAAAACTAGCCAGGCATGGTAATGGGCGCCTATAATCCTAGCTACTCAGGAGGCTGAGGCAGGAGAATCACTTGAACTCCAGAGGCAGTTTGCAGTGTGCTACTGCCCTCCAGCCTGGGCAACAGAGTAAGACTCCATCTGAAAAAAAACAAACAGTTTCTGTTCTCATAGTTCTTCTATCCAAAGGAGAAATTCAAATTGGAATAACTCAGTGCTTGGGATCTCAGCCTTGATTTTTGTCAGTATGGGTCAGACAGTGTTTTGTATCTCCTGGAAATACCATGGGGAAGAAAAACTTGGAATTACACATGAGAAAAAACTTGGATGAAGGAAGTGTATCAGTAAGCACAAAACAATAACATTTTACAGTTATGTGTGGTGTGCAAGACAAAAAAGATAGGCAGAGACAACATGAGAGACTCTTCTGGTCCTGAGCTCCACCTGCATGTTTCCCACTGACTTATGTCCTCCTGGGCCTCTCACTAGTAACTCAGGCTTAAGATTGTTCAAAACTAGCATCACCCTCTTCCTTAACACACCATGGTTCTTCCCTGTGGTCTCCTGCCCTCATCCAGACTGAAAACTTTAGAGATTATCTTGACACCTTCTTGCTCATCATTAACATCCATGCAGATGACGTTTTGTCAACTGCTGTAGACTGTCATGTCTATCTGTCCCCTCTTCAGTTACCATTAGCCACTGTCTAGTTCAGTCTTCTCTCTCTCTTGCCTAGACTGTTGTAAAAGCCTCCAAACCAGTTTTCCCCACCCATACTTTTATTAAGGTTTCACGGCCATTTTTGATCTGAGCTCATCGTACTCTTCTAGGCTACACGTTAGTATTTTCTTCCTCAACTCTATGCTTATTCAAAGCAAAACTACTGGCTACTTCCTACACACCTCAAGCCATTTCACATCCAGATGTGAAATTCCCCAGATGTGAAATTAGCTTGTGATGTTCCCGCTACCTTGAATGTCTTTGGCTCTCCGTATCTCCGTGTCCAAATTCTCTCTTACCTCCCATACTTTGTCTCTCTCTGAACACTTTGTATGTAAGCTCTCCCAGACACAGTGAGTTCCTGTAGGACAGGAGCTCCACCTTCCCATAATACTATGTTAAGCCCCCAGGAATCAGTTGAATATGTGGGATAATTCAGGACTAGTTTATTGAAGCAAGTAACTCTAGTTTAGTGTAAATATGGGAAATTATAGTATGAAGGCTTGAAGTAAGTCCTGTAGAATCCTGGCTTTAATGACTCTGGAAACAAAGTCCTTGTGAATCGTTTGTAAGGTGAGCTCCAGACCTATCATCAAATTATCAGGCTCCTCTTAGCCAACTGCTAGACTGTGTCTTCCTCCAAATCCCAGAACAATGTTGGACTCAATCAGAAAACTTCAAAAGAAGTACTGACAGGCCAGGTGTTGTGGCCCACACCTGTAATCCTAACACTTTGAGAGGCCAAGGTGGGAGGATCACTTGAGCGCAGGAGTTTAAGACCAGCCAGGGCAACATAGACCCCATCTCTATAAAAACTAAAAAGTTAGCTGGGTGTGGTGGTGTGCTCCTGTAATCCCAGCAACTTGGGGGGCTGAGGTTGGAGGATCACTTGAGCCTGGGAGGTCTAGGCTACAGTAAGCTATGATCATACCACTGCACTCCAGCCTGGATGACAAAACAAAAGTACTAATAAGTAAAAGATGGAATCGTTAGGGCTTTTATTTAAGTGATTAGATTGATGGCTGCCCTCCTCTCCCCATTCCATGCCTCCCCACTTGGAATTGAGAGTTATCTGTGGTTCCCACTGAATGTGTAGAAGGAAAGTAATATTGAAACTGGTAATGGAAACGAGGCAGGAGACCAGATGCTTAAGAATAAGGGTTTAGTAATCAAATCAGCCTGGATTGAGCCTAGGCTGCACAGCTTGTGAAATGTTTATGGATGAAATAATGTGATGTCTAGAAATGGCTTCAAAGTAGTCTGGGTGGAGGGAGCAGAGAGTGTGAGGGAGCAAAAATGAAATGGGCTTGGCCATGCATAGGTCATAGTTAAATGTAGTTATGTGGTTCTTGGGAGCTTTTTATGCATACTATTCTCCAGACTTTTCTATGTGTTTGAATTTTTCATAATAAAAGTTAATAACTGACCAAGATGGAACCAGACCCAGAGCTGTGTAATTCCAAAGCTTGTCTCTCTTACCATGTCATGCTCTCTGTCCAGAAAACTTCACAGAAAATCTGGATCCAAGATGTACCTTGTAGTGAATATGGAATGTAGATGAAAAGAGTGAGAAAATAATTCCAATTTGGGCAACAGTGAGAATTAAGATTTCAGTTAGTGTGGTTTATGGGACAGCCTAAAAAACAAAGAAGAACATTTGAGAAAAAAAAGCACTCTTGGTTGGGATATGATTAGATACATAGAGAAATTTAGTTCCTCAAGTCTCTCGAGGAACTTGGACTTGGCCAGAATCTAAAGACCAGTGTGGTATAGTATACTTTAGTATAGAGGTGAGATAATGAAAATAGGATGAATTAGAGTAAACTTCAGGGAGATAAGCCAGGTTACCCCCATGTCAGTTGGGATATGGATGGGGAATCATGGCTTGGATTATAATGCAGGAAACATTTCTGAAGGCCTACTCTGTACTGGCTGTTATTGACCTGTTTATGAATGGAAAGAAATAGAATAGAATGAATCAGGGAAGAGTCATAGGATCTGAGACTAGCGAAGTGTATGGAGATCATAACTGATCAAGCCTTGCAGGCCAGGTTGTTGATGTTAATATCAGACTTGTATGAAATTTGTATTGTCTTTTGTTTTTTCAGATTTTGAAATTGGAAGTAGCATCAAGGAGGATCCAACACAGATAGTATATAAGGACATGGAACAGCATAGGGCATTAATAGAAAAGTCTAAAAGAGTTGTTTCCCAGAATACCGACCCCAGCAAATATCATAAAAGGGAATGCATCTCAGGAAGACAATGGGAAAATCTTCAAGGAATTAGACAGGGAAAGCCGATGTCTCAGCCTAGAGATTTAGGGAAAGCTGTTGTGCATCAGAGGCCTTTTGTGGGGAAGAGACCCTACAGACTTCTCAAATATGGAGAAAGCTTTGGAAGGAGCACTCGTCTGATGTGCCGGATGACCCACCACAAGGAGAATCCTTACAAGTGTGGTGTCTGTGGGAAGTGCTTTGGTAGAAGCAGGAGCCTGATCAGACACCAAAGAATCCACACAGGAGAAAAACCTTTTAAATGTCTTGACTGTGGGAAAAGCTTTAATGACTCCTCAAATTTTGGTGCCCACCAGAGAATCCACACAGGGGAGAAACCCTACAGATGCGGAGAGTGTGGAAAATGCTTTAGTCAAAGCTCTAGTCTTATTATACATCAGAGAACCCACACTGGTGAGAAGCCCTATCAGTGTGGAGAGTGTGGGAAAAGCTTCACCAACAGTTCTCATTTCAGCGCCCACCGGAGAGTCCACACTGGGGAGAATCCCTACAAATGTGTGGACTGTGAAAAAAGTTTCAATAACTGTACCAGATTTCGAGAACATCGGAGAATACACACTGGAGAGAAGCCTTATGGATGTGCTCACTGTGGCAAACGTTTCAGTAAGAGTTCTGTTCTTACCAAACACCGGGAAGTTCATGTGAGAGAAAAACCTCTGCCACACTCTCCATCTCTGTATTGCCCTGAGAACCCACATAAGGGAAAGACTGATGAATTTAGGAAAACTTTTTGATGATGATCTTCTCTTCCTAAATGCCCCTTTAGCCATCCTACCCTAATCTCATTCTTAGAAGCAATTTTTTCTTAGCTATGGAGTGTAATTCCCAAGATAAACTTGAGAATGTAAATAAACTAGACATTTTCATCCTGTTCTCACCTCTGCCTCTAACTTGATCAGTCTGTTCCTCTTCTATGTCTCAGCTTCTCCTTTAAGAATGTGGAGAAGATACGTTGTCTGAGTTTAGAATGAAATATTCTTCAATATGTTGAGGCCACTGCAACTAGATTGCTAAGTCTGGCAACATTCAAGATCCTTCCATGTGGTTGAAAGTTGTTTTCAAGGATATAAAAAATGCCAAAAGTTTTTTTGTTGTTGTTACCTACTCCATGAGATCCTGGATGCAACTTGATAAGATTCTCACATTTGGGTAGAACTTTGAGGAGTCTGATCAGAACTACATCAGGTCCATCTTGGTTTTGAAGATATCCACAAAAGAAGAGTGAAGATTGTATAGCTTTCCTCAGAAGTCTGTTACAGTGTACCTTTTTTCGTGTCAAGAAGTTGATCCAAATACCTAGGGCAGAATCCCTGTATTGTCACTAAAATCCTGTTACTAAAGCCTTGCCCTCCATGGAGATGAGAAGCAGTTCTTCACCTGTCATCCTTTTCTGTACCTGAAGACTTCAGTCCCCTTGGCTGCTGCTTCTCCAGCCTATAAGTAATCCAGGTCCTTGTACTGTTTCTTATAGCCCTGCATTTACCTCTCAGTTGCTCTGGGTGCTCCTGCTGGCCTCTTCTGAATTACTGTGCCCTTCTCAGATGGAATAGGAGACCTTTCATGGTATGTCTTACTAAAGCAAAAGCAAAATTTCAGACACTTTCTAGTTCTATCCTCTAACTTCTCTGGCTCTTATCCAGAATGTGGTATGTTGGGATATTTTGTACCTCCCATCCCCACGCTGCAGTATAATATTTTAATAGTGTTTCTATAAGGGAATAGGGAAGTGGTAATGGACACCTGAAACATTTCTAAGACTGGTTGGACTTCTTTGGCCTGCTGTAGATCAGAGAGCCACCTCAGTTCAGACCAGCACTCTCAGGGCCTGCTGCTAAATCTCCCAGTCTCTATTTCTGAGGCTTCTAGTCCCTGTTCTCCACATCAGAAACCTAACTGTAGCTCCCCAAGTCACACAATTCTAGAGCTCACTGGGTGAAAAGTGGGAACATTTTTAAAAACTTGAATCCAGAAATCTAGAACACTGTTTTTGTTTTCCTCATTTACCTGTTCATCTGAAAAATCTCTTTGAGAACCCCCTGCAGTAACCCAGTAAACACTGAAGGAAAAGTTCTGATGGGGGATGGTTACTTCACTTTTGAAGTTACAGATGAAACCCAGGAATTTGATTTTCCAGGGGCAGTTGCTTCAGGATGGAGCCAGTGACATTTATTCCCTTAGTATGTAGGTAATCCAGGATGGCTTTGCTTTGGCAAGGGAGAAATCACAAGTTTAATGGAAAGAGAACCAGAGTCAGGGCTGTTTGTAGGTGATTATTTTGCTCTTATCTCTCCCTTTCTTGTCAAATGCTGTTATTTGAAGCCATCTGGAAATGACATTTTTCCTTTCAGTATGTTTCAATCTTTTGAAACTTGTTCATCAAAGTACCTAGGAGGATAGGTGCTGTAGAAAAAAATTAATTTATGGTGCCAGAATAGGGTGTGGCCTGTTGGAAGGCAGGTGACTCAGGTAAACATTGCTAAATGTTTCTGATTTATGTTTGTTGGAAATGTTATAATCACATCTCAATAGGTTGATTTTTCTGTGTCGTCTAAATTATAGATTTCTAATGCTAAATGCAGTTCCATGTTGGTAGTGTGCCTAGCACAGTAAGATGTGTGTGGTGCCAGTGGGCTTGTGTTTATATTGTGTAGATGTTCTGGAATTCCAGCTTTAGCGAAGATGCACATTAATAGAAATCACCACTTAGTAATATGTACACAGGATTGATATTCTATTGAAGCATGATTCAGGAAAGTAGATGACTTATTCATAAATATGAAGCACTGTTACATGTAAGGCCATGTTCTAGCCACAGTGAGGGATACAAAAAGGAACGAAGGGTGCCAGGTGTGGTAGCTTATGCCTGTAATCCCAGCACTTTGGGAGGCTGAGGCAGGAAGATCATGAGGTCAAGAGATCAAGACCATTCTGAGCAACAAGGTGAAACCCTGTCTCTACTAAAAAAAATACAAAAATCAGCCAGGTGTGGTGGTGGAGGCTTGTAATCCCAGCTACTTAAGAGGCTGAGACAGGAGAATCGCTTGAACCCGGGAGGCAGAGGTTGAAGCGAGCCAAGATCACACCACTACACTCCAGCCTGGTGACAGAGCAAGACTCTGTCTCAAAAAAAAAAAAGGAACAAAGGGGCATGGTGCCTGGACTCAAGGAACTCACAGTTTGATAGAGGAAGTATCACAGCAGAAGATAGGGCCACTTATACTATGGCCGTTATAAAAGGCCAGGAGCTCAGTCATGAGAACATCACCTTCACTTGCAGAAGAATTTTGCTAAGTTGCCCAGAATCATATTCTGTACCTTCACGTCAACCTTCCCCAGTGGCAGGAAAGGGTCAAGACACATTCCTTCTCTAGTGGGACAAACTGTATTTAATTCTCATATGCCTGGGAGCAAGCTGAGGTGGAATTTGAGTTCCCCTACCGCTTTTCCTAATTGTAAATGGGCTGTCTGGACGTTTGACGAACTTTGTTCTGAAGTAATAGGTCTACCCACCATTCTAGACCAACACTACTTGTCTCTCTGCATTTTATCTTTTTTCACCCAGTACATGTAAGTCAGAATGAACAATCGTGTTCTCATCAATGTGTCTTTTATACCACATAGCATTGCCTTTATGAAGATTCATAGAGAAAGGTTTTTTTCTAGACCTCAGTACCAAGGAAAGCTTTGATCCTAAGCGCAGTGTATATACACACACACACACACACACGCACACACACATGTCTATATATGTGTGTAGATCTGTATGTATGTATTACAAGCACTGTGATTTTTATGACTTAAGCTGCTTTTTCTCTCTTTGTTCTGGCTGCTGGAAAGCTCAACAAAACTTACAGCCCACCTCAACCAACTACCCCAAACTATATTTATTTAATTTTGTCTTATTTCTTTGGAAATTGTGTCAAATCCTGTTTTTGAAAAGCAGTATAAACTGACATTTTTTTCCCTATCATCGAAGGCGTTTTGGAAACTGGGCTATATGTCCTACCTAGGCTTGCTTTGTTACTGCCACAGATACCTCCAGTTCTTACCAGTGATGTTATGTATTCAACCTAATTCATTCATCTGGGAAAAAAACAGTTTTTTAAAGAGGAAAACCTCACACATAAATAGCTCAGGGCAGCCTACTCTGGTGGAGTGAGCATGAGACCAGAGGCTAAAAGAGCCAAGTTTTAGTCTTATCGTTACTTAATGAGTGTTGTTTGACACATCATAGCCTCTCTGGGCCTCGACTCCTCATCTGTAGAAAAGTTGAACTTGATTGCTAAGTTGCTCCGGCTCTAATGTTTCATGAGGCTGGGGAGTGTGATATAGATGCCGAAAAGGTTAGAAGACCAGGCTGCTGGCCCAGCTCACCTGTGCTTGCCACATCTGGCCATGCCAAATCCATTTCATGCTTCAGGAAAGGGAAGGTATGCTGTGACAGCAAAGTCAGCCCAGGAGCTTGTTTGGGAAGGAGAAAGGGCAAGTCCCTCGTGGTCCGCAGGCAGGCAGCACCCCAGGCACCTCAATAGCCAGTGGCAGGTAGTTGAAGTGAAGGAAGCCTCTGTTGGGAGGTCTGGAGCTTGGTGACAGACAAGACTCATGTGAGGGAGCTGGGGCAGCCCCAGCTAAAGGAGTGTCTGAGTAACTTGTGAAACTGTAAGCCTCTGCCTCTGAATGCATTCCAAGACCCAGTGCAAATGGATGTCGATTCATTGTTTTGTATCAGTGTTCACTTAGATGTCTTCTTGAAAAACTTGTTTGTGGAATAAATGTCTAAAATAAATGGCTCCCATTGGTTTCTGCCATAATTTGAAGGGCATCTTTCTATTTAAGGGAAAAGATCATGTATCCAAGAAGCTGATAAAAGTGGATCCTCGTAGCCAGAGAAAAGAATTCCAGTCTCATTCTAGTTCACTGCTCTCCCCAACAAGTAGTAGGGGTCTTCTCTGAGTCCACAGCCGTCTATGTGCAGCAGTCCTCTAGTAGTTGTCCCTGCCATTGTCCCAGTAATTGTTGTCTCCAGTGCTAGGCGGTAATTAGCCTTAGATACACATGCTGCCTGTTTTCCTGAGGCACTCCCCCATAGCCTAATGGTGGAAGACGTCTTGAAGTTTCTTCAAAGATACAGTAACAAGAGGGGCAAAACTTTACTCTTGTAGGGTCTCTGGCTAAGCCTGAGGATTGAAGTAACACAAAATAAGAGAAAAGCATACACGGGCGTGTCCAGAAGAAATTAAAACCCAAAGAAGTAGCAAAACCTAACTGTATTATGGATTGAACAAAGAGTCAGTTGTGGCAAAGTACCTAAAATATATGGGAGGACCAAAGGAAGATAAGGATTATTTTAACAAGGCCTGTACAGATTTCCCTCAGCCTTGCCTCCCTGTCTCATGATAAAAATGTTTCTTTCTTCCGGGACAGGGAGAGTGTCTTTACTTGGAGTTTCATCTGCTGCTTTCAGTAAGTAAAAGGGGAGTGAGACTACCCTGGGGTACTTGCTGTTTCTCAAGTCCCTTTAGCTCAAGATAACCCTTATTCCAAAAAGTGGCACATATGGGGATGGCATCTTCTGTCATCCGTCGGCGTTGCTTTCGATTGACAGTTACGGCATACAGGGAAGTGTTCCAGTGGCTTCCACTTAGCCCTTCCTACCATAACAACTCCAGCTCCATGGTCATAAGGGCAAGGTAGAGATTTTGCAGAGTATCTGTAACTAGATGAGTTCCCCTGTAGGTTTCTGTATTTTCCTTCAGTAAATGACCACAAACCTTTTGGTGAAAGCCAAGATCGTCATCTTCAGGTGCCGTGAAGGGTTCTTTCACAGGGTTACCTGACCTCCCACTCCTTCACAGAGACAAGTCTGTGAACTCACTTAGGTCTGGGAATTGAATGAAAGACTTTAAGAGGGAAAAAAAAATCTCTTAAGGATTACAAATTTTCAATTCCTAAAAATCAGTTGAGGCGATTAGACATTAAAGGAGGAGAATGAATGCTTTGTGTTTCAAGCACTAAAAGGAACATAGCTCATCATAACCCCCAAACTCCATGATGGGTCCAGGGATTGGAGGGGGAACAGTGGCTTTGGGTTCCAAGACAGGTAAATGTCTAACTCACTCTGAGGTGGTCGGACTGGAGGGAAAATACCGGTGGTGATGGTGGTGGTGTGTGTAGGTATCTGGGGGGGCCAAGGGGAGAGGAGGGACGTAAAAGGCCATAAGCCTTGCTTGGATACATGTGCAGAGTCCATGGCAAATGTGCTTGGCATGAAAGTTGTGGAATTAAATGTAAAGGAGCCCTCTTTGAAGACAAAGTCTTCAAAGCCCTCTTTGTGACTTTGCTGTAGTGTACACCGTCTCTGAGAACCTCTCCCAGCAGCGGCGCCATGTGGCAGCGGAGAGAACAGCAGCTGCAGGCACGAAGTAAAAATTTCCCTACAACATGCAAGGTTCTTTGTTCCTAAAAATTGTTGTTTGTTGTTGTTGTTGTCGTCGTCGTCTGAGATGGATTGTTTTTCACCCAGGCTGGAGTGCAATGGCACCATCTCAACTCACTGCAGCCTCCACCTCCCAGATTCAAGAGATTCTCCGGTCTCAGCCTCCCAAGTAGCTGGAATTACAGGCACGTGCCATCACACCCAGCTAATTTTTGTATTTTTAGTAGAGATGGGGTTTCGCCATGTTGGCCAGGCTGGTCTTGAACTCCTGACCTCAGGTGATCCACCCGCCTTGGCCTCCCAAAGTGCTGGGTTTACAGGCGTGAGCCACCGCTCCCGGCCCATGAAGTATTAATAAAAGATTGGTACACTTCCCTTTTGTCTTGCTTAAACCCCCAGAGTTCTTGGAAATATAACCCTAGTAGGGATACTAGGATTCCCAACAACATGGCATGCGAGGACCTCAACACAATACTGGGGAAAGGAAATGGCTCCGTACTTGTACCCCAAGGGTCTGGAGAATTAAGTACACACCTGTTTCAGTAGAAAGGTCACTAGACTGTGTGTCCAGGATCCTGGATTCTAACTGGGCTCTGCTGCTTGACAACTCTGGAGTTACAGTCAAATTATTTAGCTTCTCTGGGTTTTGAAATTTGGTGTTGGACAGGATGAATGAGTTCCAACCTTTTCCCCTTGGGAGGCCCTAAAGGTCCCTATATGATAATACTTGACAGAAAAAATATATATCTGCCACATCCATTCAGAAGTTTCTTGCCGAGGCTGGTAATCACGCCTGTAATCCTAACATTTTGGGAGGCCAAGATGGGAGGACGGCTTGAAGACAGGAGTTTAAGACCAGCCTAGGCAACATAGTGAGACCCCATCTCTACAAAAAACTTTTTTTTAATTAGCCACTGTGACGATGTACATCTGTAGTCCAAGCTACTCAGGAGGCTGAGGCTCGAGGATCACTTGAGCCCAGAAGGTTGAGGCTACAGCAAGCTGTGATTGCACCACTGCACTCCATCCTGGGTGACAGAACAAGATGCTGTCTCTAAATAAAAGAAGAAAGAAATTTCTTGCCAAACTCCACCCCTTGCCATGATTCTGATACCTGCAAATTGCAAAACCTTTTATTAGATGATAATAAATATAAAAGCTAATACATTGTATACTTGCTTTTGCATTGAGCGTTGTGCTGATGCTTTATAAACATTGTTAATTTTCATAAGCATTCTGAGGCAGTATTTGCATTTTACAGATGAGAAAGCTGAGGCTAAAGAAGCTCAATATAGCTTCTTCAAGTACATACAGCAAAAAGGTAACAGTTCTGAGATTTAAACTTGAATCTTCCTCAGGATGTAAACTTCTAGCCACCATATTTTACTATTGTAATAGAGTTTCTAGCTCTAACACCCAAAAATTCTGTGCCCTCCTTGTTACTGAGAAAAAGGGACCTGAGGTAGAGGTGAACCTGGTGATCTGGACCAGTTTTGGATTTCACTCTGTAGGGTCAGAATGAATTTGGGAGTCACTGGGATCAGCCTATGCCATTCTTTCAGTCAATGAGTACTGAACCCCTTCTGGCCAGGTGCGGTGGCTCATGCCTGTAATCCCAGCACTTTGGGAGGCCGAGGCAGGTGGATCACTTGAGGTCAGGAGTTCAAGACGAGCCTGACCAACATGGTGAAACTCCATCTCTACTAAAAATACAAAAATTAACTGGGCATGGTGGCACACACCTGTAATCACAGCTACGTGGGAGGCCGAGGCAGGAGAATTGCTTGAACCCGAGAGACGGAGGTTGCAGTGAGATGAGATCACACCTCTGTACTCCAGCCTCCGTCTTAAAAAAAAGAGATTACTGAGTCCCTTCTAGTCAGCAAATGCTAAACACATAATGTGCAGTTATTTAATACAAAGATGAATTTATATCCGTCTTGCTCTTGAGAGTCTAGAAATTGAAATGAAAGCCAGAACTTAAAATCCAATTGCAAGTTTGAAATGAGAAGAGTTACAATGCATGTCTTTCTGTCTCCCTTTTTTTTTTTTTTTTTTCTTCAGACAGAGTCTTGTTCTGTCTCCCAGGCTGGGCTGCAATAATATAATCACAGCTCACTGCAGCCCCAGCCTCTCGAGCTCAAGCAATCCTCCCATCTCAGCCTCCCAAGTAGCTGGAACTACAGACAAGTGCCACCATGGCTCTGTTCCCTTAATGAGAAACTAATAGGCAAGTAGGAAACTAGGCAGAGAACATAATGCTGTCCTTTATTCAGAAACAGAAAAGTATGATGACAAAGATCATGGACGCTGCAGCCAGATATACCTGACCTGCAACCGTGGCCCCACCAATGCACTAACTGTGTAGCTTAGCATAACACCACCCTTTGGAACCTCCATTGGCTCCTTTGCAAAATGAGAATGATTAAAGAATCTACCTGTATTTGTTTCCTGGAACTGCTTTAACAAACATCGCAAACTTGGTGGCTTAAAATGACAGAAATTATTCTCTCTCCATTCTGGAGGCCAAAAAGTCTGAAATTAGAATGTCAGCAGACCCAGGCTTCCCAAGAAGATTCTAGAGGAGAATCCTTCCTTCCCTCTCCCAACTCCTGGCAGCTCCTGGTGCTGTCTTTGGCAGCATAACCCCAACCTCTGCCTCCATCTTCCTGTCGCCTTCTCCTTTGTGTCTCTGCACCTCCTTTTTCTGTCTCTTACAAGGAAAGGCCACCCTAATCCACTAGGATCTCATCTTGACTTGTACCTTAATCACATCTGCAAAGACCCTATTTCCAAATAACGCCACACTCTGAGACTACAGACTGTCACAGATTTCGAGAGGACGCTATTCAACCCACTGTACTATCTCATAGGATTGTCGTAGATGGTGAATTACATAATGCGTGCAAAGCATTCAGCACAGCGCCTAATGTGTAACAAACGCCCCATAAATGTTAACTATATACATGTAGGTATACATATATATGGATATGTAACTTTTGTTATTTACTAGATTTGTCAAAGGTTTATTTCCCCAAACAACATAGTAACTTTTAACAGTTTTTACTCTCTTTTTATTTTATTCTGTGGCAGGGTCTCACTCTGTTGCCCAGGCTAGAGTGCAGTGGCGAGGTCCCAGCTCACTGCAACCTCTACCTCCCAGGTTCAAGCAGTTCTCCTGCCTCAGCATCCCAAGTAGTTGGGATTACAGGCACATGCCACCAAGCCTGGCTGATTTTTGTATTTTCACCATGTTGGCCAGGCTGCTCTTGAACTCATGACCTCAAGTGATCCACCCACCTCACCCTCCCAAGGTGCTGGAATTACTGGCACGAGTCAGAGCACCCGGT